TTTGTAATTGCAATATTTGTTGGAAATTGAAGGTTGAGGAGGACATAAAGGAGTTCGATCTGCTTGGATTGAATGTATGTTTAAATTCTTTGGTTATTGAGGATTGAATTTGCATGTTAAAAATTCTTTGCTATTTTTAAGTGTTTTATTAAATTCTCGAGTGTTATTGGGGCTTGGTTGCACGTATGGAGAAAGAAGTTTCAAATTCCATTGATAATGAAATGATCCTTCAATGCTTTTAAAATATGAAAACTTGTGGTGAAAAATTATGAACATTTATTAGATGTTTGAGAATTTGAATTTTTCCATGTATAGACTCGATATATGAGCGCTAATTTTTTTTTTCTTGTTAGGTCTTATCGACAACTTTATAGTAGGCCTTTTTTGTTAGCTCCTTTTGTATATGGCTCGTATATACGAGTAGTGTCTTTAATTGACGTCATTTTAATGTTATTATATTTTTGTGAACATTTGGAGTTTGAATATTCATTTGGTTTAGGTTGCCCCCACTACAAAACATGTCTGGCTCCGCCCCTATCCGGTTGTATGGTGGCGGGCATCTTTGTTTATTATATACAAAAATTTAATGGGAGTTTGGTTGTTGCTATTGAAAGTGTTGAAGACACCAATCAAGTAATAAGAGTAGAAGTTCAAGGTGATCAAAATGTACAAGAAGATAGAAGTAAGTTGGGTATGAATGAATACATTGTGAAGAAGTTCAAGTCTTGAAGAATTTCAACTCACATTAAAACCATGGCTCATGCAAGGTTAGCAGCCATGCAATTGCTTTATTTAAATTTTTATGGAGTGCGAGCAGAATATTTGTGATTATCTTGATCTTCCTTTTTCCTTTGGAATGAGGACAACACTCGCGATGACCATTTGGAAGAATTGGTTTATGTATATGCGTGGGCAAGTGGCTATGGATGTATGCAAGTTATTATACTCTGTTTGTGATTCCAATGTTCTTATTGGTGCAGGGAGCCGCATGGCTTTGGTTGTATGCAATATGTAGAGCCTACTGATGCTACTGAAGGCAAATACCAGATGGATAGTCAGATTCTTCCTNCCATTTTACTCCTGTGTGAGCATGATTTGTTTTGCCTCTGTTTAATGGCTTTACATATGTTAAGAAGCAGGATATTGCTACTATTTTGGTTTTAAACTTGCAGTTGGCAAGGTTTAAATTTTTGTATTACAAACTTTTATGAAGCAATGAATATTTTTGAACTCATCTTTTGAATGTTATAGTTTTCTTGAATGTTTTGCCTTTTTTGTGGTTTAATACATTCCGTCAAAACCTTTAGTTTGAATTTTCATCTATTGATGCACCTGGCGGATTTCTCTTTGATTGGTAGTCCGTCTTTTGGGACATCTTCACTGCTAGGACAAATGAGAAACATTTTGAGGCTACTGCAGCTTACATAGAGGTCCCTCTAAGCTTCAGATTTTTTGGGCTATTCGTGGATTAGTGTCTTATATGAGGACTTCTCTCCCCCCCTTCCCCTTCCTTTCTTAGTGAGATGAAGTTAATCTATGGCAACTTTCTTTTTGGTTTTATAATTTACTATCAGACACAACATGTGAATGCAAGGGAGCATCAACAACAGCTGCAAATGCAGCAATTGCAACTTATGCAGCAACGCAATACTCAGTTGCAAAAAAGGATCCTAATCATCCTTCACTTGGTGGTCCTATGAATGCTATGAACTCTGAAGGAATGATGGGGCAGCCATCAGCCAGTGTATTGGCCATGAAAATGTACGAGGAGCATATGAAACATCCTCATTCAATGGATTCAGAGACATCTCCAGTTCTAATGGATGCCAATAGGATGGCCCTTATCAAGTCAGCAACTAATCATCAAGGGTAACAACTATAGAACTTTTTTGTTTTCTTGAGATCAAATAAATCACGGCCAGCCGACCTATTATGATTGCATCATTGGTTACCCTTCCACACTTTCTCATAATTTGTCTGATCATATTTAGATTGGTTGATTAAACTTTGCTAATAACCTCTTAGAGCAAGTGTTTTGTTTCCTCATTTTTACACATATAGAACAGGGTGATTAAGAAGTTGATTTTCCCAATTGATGTTATGGTTGTGTTACATGCTATGAAAATTCTAGCAATATGAAGCTTTGAGGAGATAGATATAAAGAGTATCTTTTTGCCTTGGTTGATCATTTTAATAATACAACTGCTTGTAATGTGAAATTTAGGAATTTGTTTGGTTTCATACGTTGTTTTTCTCCAAGGGGAATCATTTCATGTGGGTTCTTATTTGTGTGGGTATAGTATTCGAGTCGTATTAGATTTTTGGCTTTCATTGTTGTTAGGAACTGTTGGAGAAATTGGTTGGGATAGTCAGGGTGATCACTGGTTTGTGTGAAGTATCATTTTTTGCTAGGTTGTTCATGAGTTCCCTTTTTTGTTGTTTCAACTGCATTGTAATGGATTTCTACATTTTTATTGCGTATTCATCAATTTTAAATTCTTCCTCTAATCAAAGTTCATGTTTCCAATCGTAGTTATAGAATTCAAAATCTGCACGAGCAAGTTCTGGGAAAAAACAAAAAAAGAAGAAGACTTCTCTCTCCTTGTGTTTGTGTGCCCATTCAGTAAGTGCTCGACAGTGATACATCAGAGCGACCTTGTCTTGCATTAAGGGTAAGAACTTCAGTCCTCTTACCTTCTCAAGTGCTCGGTTTGAACATGACATTTAACATTTTGCAGGGATTAAATTGAAACTTGGAATCATTCCTCACTTCAAACGCTTGGGCTTTAATTCATTATATATAGTAGAAATTGAATAATACAGTAATAAGTTCTGCTGTGAGATTGAAACTGAATTTTGTATGTCTTTGATATGTGTAAATCCCCACATTCGTATCTTGATATAACCACGTAATTATATTTTTGAAATGCTAATATATGTAATGATGTATGCATGAACTATTTATATTGTAAGAGTAGAAATAAAAAGGTTAGTTGAGGTAATAGGGTATATGTTGCAGAATTTTGGAAGTATTCCGGAATGAAAGCACACTTTAGAGAGAATTTGGGTAAAAAAGATTTTGGACACTTCCTAATAATTGGATCATAACTCTTTATCCTGATGTCCGTTTGATCTGAAATTTTGACAGTATATAGTTGACTTCTAGAGCTACAAAAGTTTATTTCATGTAAATTTTCCAAATTAACCTCTAAATAGGCAAAAACTGCACTGGAAGTTCCAGCAGAAACAGGAATGATGTTCGAACGTTCATGATGTTCGAACAACAGTGCGTTCCAATACTTTTTGTCTGATGGAAAAATCAAAGTACTGGGAGTTAAGGACGTTCGAACGTCAGTTACGAATTCTGATTCTAAAAATTACGCACAAGACACCATTTCTTCCACTATAAATACCTAAGGACACCTCCCTAAGTCCCATTTTAACACTTCTAACCCTAGAAAAGCTTAGAGAGGAAGAAAGAAAGGGAAAAACAAAGGATTAAAGGGTGATTGAAGTTTTGGAAAGATCAAATCTTCATCTTCTTCGCTCAAAACTAAGGAAGCAAGGTAGGGGGTTTTCTTCCATTCTTGTCCATTGATGCTAGAGCTAATATATATGTATTCTTTAACTCTAAATCTTATATATTTGCTATGAAATCATGTTTTCTTAGTCTTTTTGCAATTATTACCATGTTTTACACAAGTTAGGGTTGAATACCCATGAAATCTCATTTTTTTGATATAAAACCCTAGTTTTCAAAAGAGATGGACTTTCTTCTTGATTTTTCTTTTGTTCTTGACTTTGAAACTTTAGTGCTTGGTGTTGAGTAAAAAAANATATAAAACCCTAATTTTCAAAAGAGATGGACTTTCTTTTTGATTTTTCTTTTATTCTTGACTTTGAAACTTTAGTGCTTGGTGTTAAGTAAAAAATATGATATTGATGATGATCTCTTGCATTTTCTTCAATTGTTTTATTGAAACACTACATGTGAAATTGGAGATTTATGGAATTGTTGTTATTTGAGGAAATTGTTGGTATTGTATCTCATGTGTGGTTGTTAGATAAACATGGGCTATTATTGACCAGGTATCTTGGAGTGTGTAGACGTCTTTTTATTTCGTGCGGGTTAAAACTTTTCTTACCACTCGTAATGAGGTTAGTGTCTTGCGAGAACTAAACTATTATCGCTTACGGGTTACTGNTTGGAGTGTGTAGACGTCTTCTTACTCCGTGTGGGTTAAAACTTTTCTTACCACTCGTAATGAGGTTAGTGTCTTACGAGGACTAAACCATTATCGCTTACGGGTTACTGTGAAAAAAGGGTTAGTATATTACTCTTTGGTTGGATACGTCACTGCCATGGTGTTGGTATACGCCCTTCCTAAAAGTTGAATATCTTTGCGAGGATTTGTGTGGATTGTACATGGGTCATAATATTTTCGATGGTATCCATGTGAGGTCTAACTTCATACCAGAGATACGAATACAGTGGTGGGTTATTGTTCATTGTACCAGATATAGTTTCTACAAGAATTTTGGAAAGTTTGGGATTCCGCAAGAACTTGGGAGGAACGGTTTATGGTGGAATGAATTATTAGTTGTATATTGGTTTCACTTATGCATTAAATTATTATTGTTGCTTAAACTTGAGATCTGTTTAAATGTCCTGGTTTTTTTTCGAAATTCATATATGTTATTTGTGAAAGGTGATCGACCATTTTTATATGCTTTTCTAAACCTTGTTCGAGTTTGGGGAGGAATGTTACTACAGAGCTTAGTGCTCACCCCCTTACAAACTATATTTTTCAGATTATGTACTAGAGGAAGATTTGGGAATTGAGGAACCAACACATTTGGAAGCTCTACTAGACGGGTTCGTGGATCCCGAGGTGAACGTCTAGAGTTATAGTTTATTTTTGTGCTAAACTAGGAAATTTATTTACGATCATGTATAATATAATTTTTTGTTTATTCCGCTCCTAAGTTTATGGATGAATTATTTAGTTGTTCTCATGATGTAAATAATTTTTAATTTGTAATACCGTCCAGGATGGGTTTTAGGGCGTTCGTAGGGCCATATGTTTGATTTGCTGCACTGTTAAAATTAATTTTATTCTTTCTTTGGTAGCATTTATTTTGGGAACATATGTTTGAATTGTAGTGGAACTCTTTGTCCAAAGAAAAGATTATGATTACGTGATTGTGCAAGTCAATGAAATTAATTAGATCCCTTGAACTCTTTTTGTTAGACCAATTTAAAATACATTTAGTACAAACTTATTTCATTGTTCTTTTAAAAATAACAATATGGCAATACAACTTTTAAAATTTTTTCCTGCCATTGTTCTTATTCGCAGAAAACCTGGACTTCATTCAAGAGCTATTGTGGAATATCCTTACAACAGATTCCATGGCTTCTATGGGTACAATAACAGTTTAACAAATGGAAGGGCAGGTCTTTGAAAAAGTTCCAATCATTGTGCTTACAATTGCCATCCGTAAAAGTTCCAAATATTTCAAGAAATAAAAAAAAAATGGCATTGATTTGGAACCTATTAGTCCATTGATAATACAATACTAATATAATTATTGATTTCCTCTGGTTAATGAGTTTGGACAAGTGTTTCTGTAGTGGACAAATAACCTTTTTTTTCTTTTTTCTTTTTTCTTGGTAAGTGGACAAATAGCCTTGTTACTATTTGCTTCCTATGCATTTACAATGTTTTTTGGTCAATAAGTGCATTGGACTTTGCTGCCTTGCACTTGTTTAATGGGATTTTGACAAATTTCCCCTTTCAGATGCAATGTCAATTCTTCCCGTCAACAACATACAATTTTTTTTATGAAGAAAAAAAAACTACAAAAATCGCTAATATGAATTGTTATAGGCCACATGAGCATCAACTAGTATAATATAAATATCGAGTGAGATAAAAAAATAAGTTGAGCTATAGGCCATAAATTTTTTTGAAAGAGGTTTTAAAAATTTTACAATAATGCTACTTGCACTTAATTTGAGGACCAAGTACATTAGATAAAATAGTAAATTTTGTTTAAAGCTAGCACTCACTATTAATTCAATGATTAAAATATATTGAGTAATTAAATTATATTCTAAAATTTTAATTATATCTCATTGTTTATTTTATTTTTGGGGGCTAATTTTTTTTTTTTTTTCTCATTTGCGGGCCTAGGCAATGGCCTAATGGTTGGGGCGTAATTGAGTGTGTGTGTGAGAGAGAGAGATGGATAGATTGAAGTGAAAGTTGCCTAGGAGTGAGAAGATATTTGGGGATTGTCCTGGTCCAACAAATCGAGTGGTCCATCGGATCACAAGCTGGCCCAGTCCACTTCATAAATAGGTCGTGGGCCTTNTGAAGTGAATGTTGCCTAGGAGTGAGAAGATATTTGGGGATTGTCCTGGTCCAACAAATCGAGTGGTCCATCGGATCACAAGCTGGCCCAGTCCACTTCATAAATAGGTCGTGGGCCTTTGATGCAGCCTAGAATGCTCTGGGTTTCCAGTCAAAAAAGAATGCAGCCTAACATTCTAATTATGGATGATAGTGGACCGAAAAAAAACGCGTATTCGTCAAAATCTGTTCTGTTTGGACTAAAGATGGACGTATACGGGGATGCTTATATAAACCCGTGCGGGGATGGACTTATCCTTACTTTCGCCCAATCCCCGTTACCCGTTATATATATATACTCTCAGTTAAAAGCAATAGCCCTAACTTATTCTATCAAGTATCAGCCACCCGCCTCCACTTATTCTCTGCTCGAGAACATCACTGATCGCTGATTTGGGCCTTCCTCCTTTACACATTTTACCGATTTTTCGGACATTGGTGTGGTAGGTGAAGATCAAATGAATATTTTCCACTGGAATGTTTCATTTAAACACGGATAGACATGTTTATATACAATTCATGTCTTTGATGCTTCATTGTGGTGTGCCTGTTTGGTCTGTAATGGTTTGAGCTTGTGACTGACTTCTCTTGGTTTAATTAAGTGTCTCCGTACGTTCTTGTTGGATCTGGTANTGGTCTGTAATGGTTTGAGCTTGTGACTGACTTCTCTTGGTTTAATTAAGTGTCTCCATACGTTCTTGTTGGATCTGGTATATAAAATGATCAAAATGTGCATCAGTTTTGAATTTTATTTTGCTCACATCTAGGATGGCAATGGACCAATTTTGATAGTTAATTTTGGAATTTAAATCTGGCTCTTGTTTTCTTAGAATTATCTTTATTCCCTCTTTGCTTCTTGAGTTTACCTACCATTTGATGATCCACAGAAGGACATTCGTAAGAAATATTGTGCTGAGCCGTAATTAAATTCTACTAAGTTAGATGTTTACCACTTAAGATCATTCTTTCAAGTGTATTGGTGTCCTGCTGTCTTCCTTCTCCATTGTTTAGCCTTTACGACAATACTCTCCTTCAGTGTAGGTTTTTTAGTCTCCTCTTGATACAGCCTGTTCTGGACCCTTTTCCTGGCCTCAACAACTTTGTATGTTTCACATCTTTTTGTTTTTCATGTTCTTTTGTACTTTCACCCATGTATTAGCGCAGACACTTTTTCATTATAACCTGCCTATAGGTTGCTTGTATCTTGAGGCTGCTGGATCTCCTCTATCTGTTCTTCCCCTTTCATGCAGAAATCGGTATGCTATTTAATTGCTAGATTGCTTTGCATGCTCATTTTTGTTTGATTATTTATATTGCTTGGTTGATTAAGTAGGAATGAAAGGAGAAGAAGTGAAAAATAATATTTCAACTCCTCAAACTTCTGCAACACTGGGTGAAAGCAACCAACTTTCAATCTCTATTGATGAAAATCAATCTACTAACTCAACTCCAATGACTCTTGGTGAAACAGATAAGCATAAATAAATTGTATGAAATCATTTCAAGAGGAAAACAATTGATGGGAAGTTAAAGGCTGGGTGCAATGAATGTAAGAAATTGCTTGTTGGTGGTGCTAAGAATGGAACTACCCCACTTGCATGACTATCTTAAAAGTTGTCCGAGGAAGAAATATAAAAATTTGAAACAATATTTAGTGGTATCAAACCAATTAAAGAAGGATATTGAGAAAACACTGGAGAACTGACGATTTGTTCAAGAGACGGGGAGAAGGGATTTTGCCAATATAATTATATTGCATGAATACCCTTTTAGTATGGTTGAGCATCACGGATTTCAAAAATATTGCCACACTCTTCAACCAATGTTCAAAATGATATTCCGGAACAATCTTAGAAATAATATCCTTCAAATTTACAAAGCCGAAAAGGAGAAGACAATGAAATTGTTGGAAAAGACAAAAAGTAGAGTTGCTATTACTATGGACATGTGGTCCTCAAACAATCAAAGAAAGGGATATATGGCAATCACCACACACTTTATTGACAATTTTTGGACATTGTAAAGTCGGATTATAAGGTACTAATGATCTTTCATTAGCATGTGTTATTTATTATAGAGTACTAATGATCTTCTATTAACATGTGTTATTTTTTATCTTTAGATTTTTATACGTGCCTTATCCATATACCAAGGAAGTGCTTGTGGAGTGTTTGATGGATTGGTTTTTCGATTAGAATCTTGATAGAAAGTTGATCACATTGACTGTGGATAATTGTACCACTAATGATGTAATTGTGACTATTTTGTTGGATAAACTTCCATTTGGTTCACTAATATTGCATGGTCGGTTGTTCTATATGCGTTGTTGTGCACATATTCTCAACTTAATTGTTCAAGATGGTATTGAAAGAATTCGTGATAGTGTTGCTTATTGAATAACATCTCCCAAGAGAGTGCAAAAATTTGAAGAAGGCAACTCATCAGATACATACTCCAAGTAACAAGAAGTTTGCTTTTGATGTTAAGACTCGATGAAACTTTATTTTTCTCTTGCTTCAAATTAGTTTGATTTATAGAGATGTGTTTGCTTGTTTGAAATATTGAGATTCGCATTACAAGATTTGTCCGACTGAAGATGATTGGGAGGTGGCAAGAGAGATTTGTGAAAAATTGGAATTGTTTCTTACCGCAACAAAATTGGTTTCATGTACAAAGTATCTTACTGCCAATGTATATTTTCCAACTATTTGTGGGATAAAAGTAGAAATATCTAAGTGGTTTCAAAGTCTCAAAGACGTGATAAAAAATATGGCCATGAATATGTTGGAAAAGTTTAACAAATATTGAAGTGTGATTGATGGTGTTTTGGGAATAGCTACTGTTTTAGATCCACGGTATAAGTTGAGAATTTTGGAGTATTACTATGAGAAAATGTATGGAGGTGTGAAAGTTTTAAATGAAGTGAAGAAGATTAAGGAGTTTTGCATGGAATTGGTACGCGAATATAAAGTAAGGCAAGGAAGTGATTATGAACCACAACTTTCTCCTTCTCCTCCTCTTCTTAAATCAGATATTGATTCCAAATGTCCATTAATTAATGATCTCTCTGATTTTGATAAGTTTATACAAACAAGAGTCATAACAAAAGCATATGGGAGGTCTGAGTTGGATCGTTATTTAGAAGATGGTATGATGCTAAGAAGTTCAGATTTTGATATATTATCTTTTTGGAAGACAAGTGGTCCCAAGTATCCCCTGCTTCAATTGATTGCTAAAGATCTTTTTGTTATTGCTGTTTCTACCGTTGTCTCGGAATCTGCTTTTAGCACAAGTGGGAGGGTGATCAGTCCACATTGCAATAGACTTCTTCTAACTATAGTAGAGGCTTTAATGTATTTTCAAAGTTGGTTATGTGCTGAAGAACGAGGTAATAAAATATTATTTATATGTGTATCATAATTTTTTTAGGCGGGTAAAGTATGACTAATACACTTTTTTTTTTTTTTTAGGTTCATGNATTTATATGTGTATCCTAATTTTTTTAGGCGGGTAAAGTATGACTAATACATTATTTTTTTTTTTTAGGTTCATCTACTTCGACGGACTTGAAGAGCTACACATTATTGGAGGATCTCGATATTGATGATGAGGTATATCTTTTTTTAGTTGAAAATTTCTCTTTGGAAGAATCTATTTTTTTTTTCTTTTAATGATATAGGAAAATGATGTTGAAGAAGTAAATTCTACCACCACCGATGATGTTAAGAGATGATTGAGTTGGTGTGAAGCTGGTGTTAGGAATTGATTG